GACTTTGAAGTTAGGCCCCAAACTACTAGGGCCATCAATGAGGGAACTGGGACCAACCTAAAAAATTCGGCACAGGGCTATCAGAAATAGGGAAGGACACAAACACAGAAGAGGCACAAATTGACAAATGGGATATATTGAAGATAAAACACCTGTGTACATCCAAATAATTCACCAACAGAGTAATAAGAGAGTCCATGGACTGGGAAAACATCTTTAGCAATGACACATCAGACAAACGCCTTATTACTAAAATCTACAATACTCTGCTAGCTTCCAAAAAGAAAAAAACCTAATTGCCCACTTGAGAGTGGACAAAGGACCAGAACAGAAGTTTCACAGGGGCAGAAATCCGAATGGCCAACAAACACATGAGAAAATGCTCCCGATCTTTAGCTATAAGAGAAATGCAAATTAAAACAACACTGAAGTACCACCTAACACCCTCAAAGATAGCCCAATTCAAGATAAGCTCTCAAAATGTAGGTGGAACATAATTCAAGGTCATATTTTGGTGCTCATGAACCTGCTTTAACTTTTATAACAAAATTTAGAAGGGAATGAGAACAGATTTCACATTTCATTACTGCCTAATATCTCAGACACCAAGCTATATATTTTTCATATATTACCCAATTTGATTCTCATAATTCTGGAAAACATCAGCTCACTTTTACAGAACAGGAACCAAGACTCACAAGGCCTCCAATCACCTATTCGTGCATGAAATAGATATGAGCTCAGGTATTATTCTAGTGTAGGAAACGCACTGCAGGGGAGCCCGGGTGCACTGTGTGCTGGGCTGCTCACCCCAAGGCCCATAGTTTGGGCCCCCAGAGGCTCCTCGGGAGGAAGACGAGGCATCTGCTCCCGTTCAGACCTACGGCCTCAGAAAGTCCCAGGGACAGTGCTACTCTTTCCAATGGGGTCACCATGAGTCGGAAAGCGTTTTGTTATTTTTTAAATGTATTTTAGGGCTACACTGGTGAGAGAAAAAGACACAGGCCCTCTGGCAGAGGAGTCATTAATTAAATACTCACACAAGTGCATGTAATATTTTAACTAGTGGTATGCTGGGTTAAAAAGGAGCACCTCTGAGTCTAAAATGCATCGTGGTGCCATTATAGTATCTTACAGAGGTCTCTAACTTAGCTGGCACTCTGAAGGGTCAAAGAAGATTTCTCTGTGGAAATCATGATTGGGCGGAGATCTGAAAAGACAATTATTTAAGTGAAAAAGATTGTTCCAGATTGAGGGAGAGGAAGTATATGCAGAAATTCTGTGGTGGGAGGAAGCAGTGAATGTTTGTAGAACAACCTTCCTTGGGGCAGCTGAGACAAACGTACGTGTTTGTTTATTGCCTTTATGATTTAATGACTGAGAGCACTGTCAGCCAGGACTCTGAGGAAGTGACAGCATGCTGGGCGGCTAGCGCAGAGCAAGAGCCCTGAAGAAGGTAATCGTCTTGTTTATGAAAGCAAAACCGATACAGACTTAAAACAGGACAAAATTCTAGAGAGATTTTACTAATTCTTTACATGTTACAAATTTCAGAAAAGAAAGAGTCAGAGTGGCTAAGGAAAGTCTTTAGAAAGAAGGAAGGACTTAAGCAGAACCTTTGAAGGACTGGAAAACTGAGTGCGTGAAGAGTGACCAACGGAAGACAGTTGAATGAGAATCCTGGTGCAGGAGCGGTCGGAGAGGACTTGGGGTGGGATGCCCTTAAAGGGTACACAACTCAAAGAGATAATGGACATGGGTTTGTTTTGAGTGATGGATGTTCAATAATGAATTATTTAGGGCTAGATAATCGATGCCCTCATTTCTCCTCCTTTTGCTGCCAAGCTGA